AAGACAGAAAGAAATGTCAGTCTACTTTCTACACTCAAGAAACTACCCATGAGGTCCAAGAAATAGAGAATAAGGAAGGAAGTTTCCTATTTTACTTTATACATTTCTCTATCATTTTTTCCAATAATTGTAAAGAAAAAAAGCCCAATATATATTATACCCAGAATGCTAGAGCAGAAGAGGAAGGCAGGCCTATTAATATTTTAATAACTAGGTAACCTAGATTCCTTTCTACCTTCTTGCCCTGACACAAAGGGTGTTCTGCTTGCTTATGTGCACTGACCCTGATACAAAATCTCCCACAATGGTTTTGTGAACCAAATGGAAAACTACAGCGAAAAAAATTGCAGTTTGATTAAACTGATGGTCAGACGAAGATCAGTCAACAAAGACTAATGGATGCATTCCGGGCTCAGGTTTCAGTGGCCCTCCAGTCTGGGGTCTTCAGATTCTCACCCTGAAAGACTCAGCAAAAAGTGAAAGGAGCGCCTGAGACTTCTGCAAGCTCCAGATAAGCCCCTGCCCCCAACATTCATTGCCTTTCCACAATAACCCGGCTTCAGGACCACATGAGCTTTCCCCCAACCTCAGATGCTACTCCTTGGCCTTGTTCAAACCAATAACTGCATCCTCTCCATGATCTCAAGTTTAAGAGTCTCACCTTTCCAGCACATATATTATTGTTCTCATAATCATAGCAAGAATAACAATCCTAATCAACCAAGTTTGGATTTACAATCCACTGATTTTTACCAGTGCCTTGCTCTCTATACTCTCCTTCCAGTCTGGCTTAAGTTGGTGTCTTATGTTTACAATTATTCCCTTGCCTCTCCCTCTTCATCAAGCCTACTTCAGAAAACTCTACCCTGGGTATCAATCAGCAGAGAACTTCTACTACCACATCTCCTACCAACTGGCATTGTGCATATGCTCCTATTGTAGAAAGATTTGTCTGTGTTCCAAACTAAACATCCACATCCCCCAGCTGAGTTAGGTTTAGGCCCCTCCTGGCTCCTCCAGGACACCACTTCAGCAATTCTCATGCTTCTTCTGTATCATCATTTTTCTCCTGCTTTACTGGGTAATTCCATTAGCACACAAACATGACATAATTTCTCCCACTTTAAACAAGAACAAAAAACTGCACCACCCAAGGTCTTTTGCCAGCTGTTTCTCCCCTTCCCTTCACAGCAAAACTATTTTTAAAAGTTGCCCATTATTTGCCTTCTCCAACACTCCCCTTTTCTCTTGAACCTATTCTATTTCACAATGCTAAATCCAATGATCAATTACTGGTTGTCTGTAACATTTGGCAATCACTTCTTCCTTCTTGAACACTTTCTCTTCTTGGCTTCCAGAATACTACTGTCAGTTCTCTGCCTACCTCACTGCTATCCTCCCAGTCTCTTATTGGTTCCGATTTATCTCATCTAAATTTTGGTGGAGTCCACCCTTAAAACTCACAATGGGCTTTACTTATAACCTAAGTGGCCTTATCTCATCTCATGGCTCTAAATATTATGACATGCTAGCAACACCCTAATCTAGCCCTTCAGTTTGTGGCAATGTATTGATTCCAGATTCATATATTCAACTGCCTACCGGACATCTCCAACTGGTCAATTATCAAACATTTTAAACATCTCTATAAATGAGTTTCTCTATTCTCTCAAACCTGTTCCTTCTACAATGTGCCTCATTTCAGAGAATGGTGATTCTACACTTGTAGTGGCTCAAGATAAAATTCTGGTGTCATTAATGACTCTTGTCTGTCTCTCATCCCCATATCCAGCCCATCAATTAGTCCCTTTGGCTCCACCTTCAAGATTCAAACAGAGTTTTGATTTATCTATTTTGAATATTAACCCCTTATCTGATATATGATCTGCAAGTATCTTCTCTCTTGTTGTAGGTTGTCTTTTCATTTTAAACGTGGTTTTTCACATATGGTGGTGAGTAAAATCTAGACTTTTGGTGGTAAGCAAGATTTAGTACATACAGAGGTGGAGTTATAGGCTGTGTATCTCATAAACCAATGTTACTTCAATTAAAAAATGCAATCAGAATCTGCCACTTCTTACCACTTCTGCCTCCACAGCTCTGATTTAAAGCCCATCATTTCTGGTCTAAACCACTGCAATAGTTTTTTGACTGGTCCTTCAGCTTCTACCCCTGATCATTTTTAAACCAGTGGCCAGTATGATCCATTTAAAACTTTAAATCACTTTCTACCAGGAATAAAAACCAAAGTCTTCACAATGGCCTACTGGTCTTCTTCATGTCCCATCCCACCAACTCCTATCTCCGAAACCCTTCATAAACGTTGCACTACCATTCTCTGTGATTCACCCATCTTCCCTCAGCTAACCATTGGGCTCACTGCCTCTCTATCCTCAGAAGCCTGCTCAGAAATCATCTCAAAGAGGCCTTCCCTCACCACCCTATTCAAAAATTATACCCCACCCCAGCTTCCCTATCCAGTTTTATTTTCCTCCAAAGCACTTGTCATGATCTGACCTAAAACTAGAATAAACACTTAAAAAGAAAAGGGGCTTTTTCTATGTTGTGACTCTTCTAATTCTAGAACAGCACCAGGTATGGGCATTAAAAAAAAAATTATTGCTGGGTAAATGAATGATGTCTTCTGTTCTTCGGAGGTTGCCGCAATATAGAGGCAAAGATTAAAAAGCGATGAATCTTAAGATCTGAATTTGAACCGAACTACTAAAGTAGGAAACAGAAGCAACTTCCGTCTTTGCTACTGCACAGTACATAACTAATTAAGTCATTTAACCTCCAAGGTCTTCAGTTTCCTCATCTACAAAATAGAAATGAGAATAGCTTCCTTCACTGTGTAGAGGCAACTGTTATTATGGAAATGTAAAATACTGTCAAAAGTGTCTGTAACTGATCACATTAAATTATTTGAAATAAATTTAACATTTCTGGACAATGTCCTTTGTAAACCAAAAGGACAATATGAATGATAACAAAAACTTTCCTCTCAGGAGTTTGTAAGCATCTATATTAACTATACATATTTGTATCTTAATACCAGTTTCTAACTTCTAGTCATTGTAACTTATTTTTTCTTTCTCTTCTGAGAGCTTATCCATTACCTTCTCTATAGGGATAGATGAGACTTGTGATCTTCAAATCGCTGGAACTTCTATGTGGCTCTAAAACTGTCCTTCCCAGTGGCCTTCCTATATCCCATAACCAGACAAAACTGAAATGGCCCTCATAGAGGGAGCAATACAAGCCAGCTTCCTGAGTCAAGGAAATAAAATGCCAAAACATTCCAAGGGGTGTCTAGAGAGTGTGAACTTCACCAAAGCACAAGGAGAAAGACGGTATTTGAAGGAAAAAAGAGGCAGCCTTTCCAAATTCTATTTTTGTTTCAAGTTACATAACGAGAAATAGAAATCATTTAAGTTAGTTTAGTTCTTCAGAGAAACGTCTTAATCATGATTCAAAATGAAGGCCTTAGCATTTACTGAGAGGCAATATAAAAAACAATTCTCCTATGAAACTGCTTAGTATGTTAACCAACATGCATTTTATAATATTGCAACAATCTCACTGAATGTACTGCCAAGGGGGAGAAAGCTATCTCCTGACTAAAGAGAATGCTTCCTATGATGTCAGTTATGTTGGGTTTTGTTTGTTTGTTTGGTCTTGGTCACTAGGAAGCTTTGTAGTTTTCAATTGTAATAACGATAATAATTCCATTCTTGACTTTTGGAAGTATAATCTCCCCTTCATTTCTCAGGCCTTCTAATCACGTTCATTTTCAGTGTACCCATGATGCCCAGCTGTGTGAAGCTCTGAGCTTAAAACATTAAAGAGCTTCAATAACGATTTCTTCTTCATCATCATCTTATTTGTATAAACAGCAATAAACATTTTCTCAACACTTAGGGTATATGCCTTATCTAAGTGCAAAAGTTCTCCAAACCAATCTGTGGGAGAGCTGGGGATGAACCTGAGCAGCCTGTTCCCCACACACAAATGCGGTCAGTCAGCTTTCTGAGGCCCTTGTCCCCACCCCTGTTAATGAACAGTGTATCAGTTATAAGTGGAAAAAAAAACAACCAAACACCTCCTGAGTTATTTCCATATTCCACTTCTTTCCAACTAGATGATCAGCCCTTCCAAGGCAGGCAGCCCTGGTGATTCATGTGTCACTGAAGATTCTGTCCCACGTTGCCATACTGTCTTAAGAAAGGTCCAATAAATAAGCCGATGCAGGGCCTCCCCTGGTGGCACAGGAGGTTGAGCGCCACGCTGTGAAGCTGTCCACAGCCTCTGTAGCACAGGTTTGATCCTGGCTGGCAGGTGAGGGTCCCACATGGTATGGCAGACCTCTCTGTCTAGCCCACTGATCCCCTCAGCAGTGTATTTCATCAGTTTGCCTGTCCTGTTCCCCACTGTGTCTCTGGTGAATCCTCTCACCCTCCCACACATCTGGCCTGTACCCTGGTTCTTGTATAAATAAATAAATAAATCTTAAAGAAAAAAAAAAAAAAAGCCGATGCAGAAAAGCAAAGAACAAATTATAACAGGTAAAGATTACAAAAAAGGAAAGAAAGGAGGCTGGAAACATAGGTCAGCTGACTGACTTGTGTCCTCTTTTTTATTCTCTTGTTAGTCGTGACAGTTCCAGAAGCCAAGGACTTGGGGCAGTCACACTGCACAGTTCTCTGTGATCTAAGCTTGGGGATCTGCCTCATGGGTGATCCAGGGGTGAGGGTGGAATTAGATGGAAGCAACCAGGTCAGGCCCCAGAGATGTGTGGCTCACGGGGCAGACAAAGTCTATGAACCTGGCCTTGCCCCACACTGGGGTCACTGTGTGCTCCGAGGTCCACTCCTCCCGGTGCCCACACCAAACAGCCCCTCCCCTCCTCACCACAGGCAGGAACCCGACATCCTGCTCCCCCCGGACTGCAGGGGGCGCCTCCCACGGGTTCTGAGTCCTGCAAGTTGAGGTCTCTCTCTTCAGGGCCAGGCCCAGGGTGAAAAACCAAAGGAAAGGAGGAAGTGGAGCAGAAGAATCCATCTAAGAGGAGAAACTGGTCCTGCCCAGCCGCCTTCTCTATCTGTGCCCCTGCTGGCCTCATCCTGGGAAGCAGGACGTGTTAAGAGCTGAGGAGACAGACATGGGCCCTGCTGGCTGTCTTTTCCTGCTGTCCCTTCTCATGGGGACTTTAAGTGAGCCCCGGGGGTGAAGAGAGTCCTAGATGGGGATAGGAGCTCCCGTCCTGGAAAGGCTTCACAGGTCGGGGGTTGTGGGCCTCCCACAGCAACAAGAATCCACATGGTATGTCACTCGTCCTTCCTTCTCTCTCCCTAGGCTCGGATGAGGAGGAAGCAAAGAATCTTCTGAAGTCAAGTAAGGCCAAGCACAGCGGCCCCGGGTGGGTCGAGGAACAGGGATTTGCGCCAAGATGGAAAGAGGGCACAAGTTTGGGAAATGAGCAGGGAGGGTTTGGGGCCGAGGGGCTGAGTTCCGGAGCTGTGTCCCAGGCCTTTCTCCTCTTTGCTGGCAGTCTGTGGGAGGCCTGCAGTCACTTCCAGCATTGCCTCAGGCAGGGAGGCCAACGTGGGGCAGTGGCCCTGGCAGGTCAGCATCCGCCAGGGCTTGTTTCACCTCTGTGGGGCCACCCTCATCTCAGACCGGAGGGCGCTGACGGCAGCTAGCTGCTTCTGGTGAGTGCTAGTTTTGCTTCCAGGAGATTCATGAGGGGATTCAAGAGGCTGGAACCCCTGGGCTCAGTCAGTGGAATTTAGTTTGCGCTACCCAGTCCAATAGGTTGTGCCTTAGAAGTAGATCCAGCTGCTTCCTGGTCTCAATGCAACTACTTTAGACTTCAGGCTTCCTAATAGTTGACAAACATTTTTAGACTGAAATGAGTGCCTGAAAAAGTTACCCATCCCCAATCTGTGTCTCTTCCCAAGAGAACATTCCTCAAGGAGGGATACTTCTTTACAGCACACCCACATCCTCACATCACCCTGGATGCACAATCTGGGGCCCTCTTCATTCTCCCTAAGTGATTGCATCCGTTTCCATGGTTTCAAATGTCATACACTTGCCGACTGATTTTGCTAGCCCTGACCTCTAGTTTTGACGCATTACCATTTGGATGTCTCACTGGTGTCTCAAAAGGAGCATGATCAAAACAGAACTAGTCTCACCACCATTACTTTTCCCAAACCTACTTCTGTTTCTGGCTGCCCCGCATCTCACTCAGCAACAGAACCAGCTGCTCAGAACAGAAACATGATACTTCATGTTCCCACAACCTCCCTATCTACAAGCCCGGCCCTGTCAGTTTTACTTCCAAAATACACTTTTTGACGCTACCATAGCTGCTCCTGAACCACCACAATGGTATAATAGATTTTGCTACTTTCACACACACAATAAAGTGATTTTGAAAAAGCAGGGATGAGATCACGACACACTCTTCTTCAAATCCCGTAAGGGTTGTCCAGGCACCTAGAATAAAACCCCAATGCCTCAATATGCGCACAAGTCATAAATCCCAAGTATCTGCTCATTTTTTCAACTTCACCCCAATCAACTACCAGTTTATTTCAATTCCTAGAAATTGCCATATGCTTTTTCTTACCCTCAGAACTTTCACATAATCGATTCCTTGTCAAATGCTTTTCCTTGTAGTTCTTCCCATGGTTATTACTTCTGGGGACTTGGTTGAAAAATTACTTTTCTTCAATTAGACCATCCCTAATCACTCATTGCAAAGACTCTTTCCCTATCTTTTACTATCTTAAAGTCCTGTTTTCTTCATAACATTTATCATAATTTTAAATTTGCTTCTCTCTCTCTCTCAACACACACACACACACACACACGCCCCTTCAAGGGGCGGAGGGCCGGATCAAGTCTTTAATTATTCTCATGTGATGGGACTTACTGAGGGAACAAATACTCAGAAAGAGCTAGAGGAAAAATACAACCTTCCAAACCATGGGCCCTGCTGGGACACTCCATGGCAGTCACAAGAAATCCTCGGTACCTGTTCTGCTTCTCTTCTCAGGTCTAAGGACACCAGAAAATATAATGTAGTGGTGGGGTCACTTCAGGCCTTTGATCACCCAAAATCCAGATCAACGATAATACCAACATCCAGGATTATTTTCCACCCTGACTTTCAGGAAGACACTTCTAGTGCCATTGCTGTGGTAGAACTGGCCTACCCAGTTTCTTTCAGCCCCGTAGTCCTGCCCATCTGCCTCCCCTCATCTGCAGTCCAGCTGAAGAACGCAACCTCTTGCTGGGTGACTGGATGGGGCTATTCTGGGATATACCACTGTGAGGATAAGTATATTTTCTGAGCTTTATTTCCTCAACTGACATTCTTCACCACCCCCCCAATATTCTTTACTCCAACTGATCAATAGCTATATTGTGTTATCTAGGCAACTAATCTGATACCACAGATTACAGATGCTCCTTGACCTTGAAACCTTCCCCCTTTGCTTCCATTCTATTTCTTTTTTCTATAATCTTTTTGCTTATTTATATCTGCATTTGTTCTTCCTAAGCAATAGTGCTAAAATCTTGAAAGTAAAAAGGACAGGGAAATGAAGTTAGATGATACTTCTGTTCAATATGAAAAGTAAATAAAGTTCTCTTTCTGCAATTGGTAGAGTGTGTGTGGGGGGAAATGGACAGGGGAAGCAGACTTGAAGATGTATTCAGGAAAGCAAGACCACAGCAAAAACCCTGGGTCTGACTAGGAGAGTACAGATTCATTTATTTATCAACAGTCTTGATTTTTCTCAACATATTATTAAATCTACTCTTATTTTTATATAAGAATAAAAACATAGCCAAAGCCTAACAATTTAATTTTGCATTATTCATGGTTTAGGGTTTTCCTGAATCCCAAGATTCTTCTGTTATTTGTGCTATGTGAATGCTAACTGCCTTCAACCTTTGTTCTGAAGCAGGGAGTTCACCTTTTTAGATTATTTCCCAAACTATCAGTGAGGATGTTGTCGGACATGTAAGGTATTTGAAATCAGAGCTATCCCTGAATTAGAGGTGTAAGATCTGTCCCCATAGCTACAAAGTGCTTCTTAATTTTTTAGCTTTGACTCTTCTTGACCTTACAGATACCAAGCCACCTTATACACTGAAGGAGCTGAAAGTGCCCCTCATTGATCTCCAGACATGCAATGACTACTACCAAAAGAAAAATCTGTTCCATGGAGTCAAGCCAAACATCAGTGAAGCCATGATCTGCTCCAAGTTCCCAGTGGAGCAGATGGATCACTGTATAGTAAGAATCCTACGCACCCTTCTGTGTCCTCCCTTCCCCAGTGTGTTGCCTTCATGTCTCACATCTTCAGAGTCCCTGAGTGAACCCAGGAGTACCTGGACTAACTCTACAGTTCTTTGCTAAACTATTGAAAAGTCTCCCCTTTGCCTGTGCACCATCTAGCCATCTTTCCTCTCTCTCTCAGGGCAGCAGAGGAGACCCTCTGATGTGTCAAGTGGAGGATTTCTGGGTCCTGGCAGGAGTAATGAGCTGGGACTCAAACTGCACCCAGACCAATGAGCCAGGAGTGTATACAAACATCAGTTTCTACAAATCTTGGATTGAGAAGTCAGCCATCTCATTTACTGACTTTTCTGCTACCCCCAGTTTGGACTTCTCTAGGCTCTTCCCTGTTATAATCCTTATGTCACCCATTTTCCTGGTGCTACCCTAAATGGGTGAGGTCAGTATGGTCGGGCTGAAGTGGCAATTAAAATGAGGGGGAAAGGAGAAATTCTGGAAGGTTACAATTTTGCAGATTCAGCAAGACAGATGCAGATTCTGTTCCCTTCAGGCACAGTTTCCATTAAGCCTAATCTATTTGATGAACCTTTTATTTCCCTGACCAACATCCCCAGCACAAATAAAACTGGATTGATTTTAACTACTATTTCTGATATTCATTCTTTTGCTCAATCTGGAGACAGGGTCTAGGGAAAAAGAGAAGCACAGAACTTTACGCCTTAAAGGCATATGAAAATCACCTGGCTCAACCAATACCTGTATTCTATACACAAAGAAGCTGGGATCCAGACAGGTTAAATTACTTTGCCCTTGGCTGAATTCAAAAAGAAAACTATCCAATCTAGGGCTAGACTTAGCTCTGAACAACAAGAAAGAAAGACACAGGGACTTGGAAGATTAGAAGTTTCCAAATGAAACACACCAGGCAGGAAAAGCCTAAAGCAGTATATTAGTTATCTATTGCTGTGTAACAAATCACCCCAGAATGAAATGGCTGAAAACAACATTTATTCTCTCACAATTTTTGTGGGTCAGTAATCAGGTGGGGCTGAGCTGGATAGTTCTGGCTGCTATTCAAGAGGCTGCTGCTTTACCTGCCAAAGTTGTAGTAAAGGGTCTTGTTTCAAGCTAACTCATATTCTATGGCAGACCTCAGCAGATCCACTTATAAGATCACTCACATAGGCCTCTCTGAAGTTTAGCCTCATTGTAGCTGGCTCCCCGCAGAGTGAGTAATTTGAGATAAAGTGAAAGCACCTAAAATGGAAGCCCTACCACATATGCCAAACCCATGGCCAGCATCATACTATAGCTTTAAAGCTACAGTAATCAAAATAGAATTGTAGGGCCTCTCCAGTGGCGCAGCGGTTGAGTGCTGGGTTGTGAAGCTGCCTGCAGCCTCTACAGCACCGGTTCGATCCCTGGCAGCTCCCCGGCCACCGGAGGAGGGTCCCACATGGTGCACAGACCTCTCCTGCCACCCGCTGCTCCCCTCAGCAGTGTACTTCGGTCCTTCTGCCTGCTCTGCTCCCTGCTCTGGCTCTGGTGAATTCTCTCACCCTCCTGCACTTCTGACTGTACCCAGTGCTTGTATAAATAAATAAAAAATAAATAATAATAATAAAAAAGAATTGTATTTGGAATAAAACTGGACACACAGATCAATGGAATAGAATTAAGAGCCCAGAAATTAACCCATACTTATATGGACAGTTATGACATGGAGCAAGAGTATCCATTGGAGAAAGGAAAATCTCGTCAACAAATAACACGTACAAAACTGGGCAACCACATTCAAACAAATGAAATGACCATTAGCTCACACTAGACACAAAAAATTAATTAACTCAAATGGAGTAAAGATTTGGATGTAAGATCTGAAGCCATAAAACCCATAGAAGAAAACAGACAAAATGCACCTTGATAGTTAGGCTTCAGGGATATCTTGGGGACTCAATTCCAATAGCAAGGGAAACAAAAGCAAAAACAAACAAAAGAGATTTCATCAAACTAAAGATTCTGCAAAGAAAAAGAAACTATCATTAAAATGAAAAGACAGGAACTCCCCTGGTGGCGTAGGCAGTTGAGCGCAGCACTGTGAAGCTGTCCGCAGTCTCTGCAGCGCCGGTTCAATCCCGGCCAGCTAGGGTCCCACATGGCACAGCAGACCTCTCCTGTCTTGCCCGCTGCTCCCCTCAGCAGTGTACTTCAGTCCTTCTGCCTGTTCTGCTCCTCGCTCTGGCTCTGGGTGAATTCTCTCACCCTCCCGCACATCTGGCCTATACCCCGGTTCTTGTGTAAATAAATCTTTTGAAAAAATAAAAAATAAAATGATAAGACAAAGATATCCTACTGAATGAGAGAAAATGTTTGCACATCATAATTCAACAAGGGGCTAAAATCCGAAATTTACAAAGAAGCCACAAAACTCAACTAAAGGAAAACAAATAACCCAATCAAAAAATGGACAGAAGCTTTAAATAGACCCTTCTCCATAAAAGACATACAGAAAGGCCAACGAGCACATGAAAAAAATGCTCATTATCACTTAGATTCAAAACCACAATGAGATACTACTTCACGCCCATGAGAGTGGCCCCTATCAAAAAGACAAGAAACAGCAAGTATTTCAAAGGTGTACAGAAAAACGAACTTCACACACTGTTGGCGGGCTTGCAGACTGATGTAGTCCCTAGGGGAAACAATATGGAAGTTTCTCAAAACATTAAAAATAGACCTACCATATGATCCAACAATTCCAGTCCTCAGTATCTATCTGAAGAATACAAACCACCAATGTGAAGGGATATGTGCACTGCTATGTTCCCTGCAGCTGAATTATGGAAACAACCTAAATAACAAAGACACATAGGTGGATAGGATGACATAGTATATACATACACAAAAGAATACTACTCAGCTATTAAAAAAATAAAGTCAAGGGCCTCCCCAGTGGCGCAGCGGTTGAGTGCTGGGCTGTGAAGCTGTCCGCAACCTCTGCAGCACCGGTTCGATCCCTGGCCACCGGGTGAGGGTCCCACATGGCATGCAGATCTCTCCTGCCTGCTCTCCGCTCTGGGTCTGGCGAATTCTCTCACCCTCCTGTGCCTCTGACTATACCCAGTGCTTGTGTAAACAAATAAATAAATAAATCTTTAAAAAAAAAAAAATAAAGTCAAAACCTTGCTGTTTGAGACAACATAGATGGAAATGGAGGGTAATTATGCTAAGCAAACTAAATCACAAGAAAAATACCACGTGAAACCAGTGAAGAAAATTGAATACAGCAAAAAATGCCAAATACACTTGTTCCTTCTGTGGCAAAACCAAGATGGAGAGGTGAGCTGTGGGGACCTGGCACTATGGAGCCTGCATAAAAACGCAGTGGATGGTGCCTGGACCTACAATGCCACTTCTGCCATTACAGTAAGGCCTGCCATCAGGAGACTGAAGGCAGTGAAAGACCAGAAGTTCACAATTTAAAAAAACTGCCAGCCTATAATAAATGGGTTAATTTATGCAACAGAAAAAGACAAGAAAAAAACTAAGATGGAAGCTATAATCTCTTAATAACCAAACTTCAAAACTGACTCATTTTTCTCTTCTTGATAAATGACTGAACAAGATGAGAATATCAGAATATCAGGGCTATCTTAAATATCTGTCTTCCATTTGTAGAGTAAGGGAAAGATCTAAACCAAGGATAAGGAAGGCTAAAATTGACTTGGAGTCATGGGTTAAAGAGAGGTGTGGAGAAATTTAAACAGAGGTATTTGGGGAAGAATACCTAGGTCTCCAGCTAAGTGGATCCACTGAAAGCACTTGATGGTTGTGCTCACCAGTGTATTGGGGTTAGGGAAGATGTTCATTGGACAGAGTATTAACTCCCAGTATCTGTGACCAGAGGGTAGTCTAAGAATATAACCCATATAAAAATGTATGATTTTACTCCTATCCTTTTCCTGGGACTTTGGTATGCATGGAAGATGACTGGTCAATGCTGAGTCAATTTATGAATTTCATAAGATACTAATTAAAACAACAGGATGTGCTAAAATGACAAGTAGTAAAAAAATGGAATTTTGACAATATCGTGTTTACAAGCAACAGCAAAATGAAAACTCATTGCTCAAATTTTGTTAAATTAAATACCAATAGAATAATTGTTTGAAAATGAAGATTTTCATTAAAATAACTGCAAGGATAAAGTAAATTAAATCTAAGTCATTAAAAGGCCTTCCTAACATATGAAGAAAATAGCCATAACTTTGAAAAAATTAATTCTCCAAATACAAAATTATACAAAGTATAGGATTCAAAGAATGATTACAATATATTCTCAGTGGGACACTGTTCATGTTAATAAGATCTCCTCAGGATTTTTTTCTTAAGATAACATTACAGAATTCAAGCAAGGCATAATTAATACTGTAGAAAATTAAAAATATAAACTCACAAAATCTAGGATACCACATAAGTAGGGAGGAAAAAGAATGTGAGGGAAGATCAGGGATCTGTATACTAGAGCAACAAGGAAATGAAAAAGTTTTAGAAAAATAAAATAGTCGGAAATTACCTTAGAAGTTCCCTGATAACAATTCTCAGCTTAAGGCATAAGTTTGTTTGATTAATAGACCCAAAGAATGATCCTTACACTTCCACATGCTGTACTGTGCTACCCAGAGCACCAATAAGGACTGAAACATTCATTCTTCTAGCAAACAGGAGTATTGGCTGCTGAGACATCACAGCTAAATCCTATCCCAAGAACTGCCAAAGAGCCGCCTTACCCAAGGCAAAGCTCCATCCTGGGATGGCAGTGCATCCAATCACACAGACGTCCTAGGGCCCAGCCTTGCCTCTGTTCAGGACATCTCTAAGGGCTACCCCAGCTGCAGAGTGACTTATAGGGCTGGGAGGCATCTGCTGCATTGTGATGCAACTCTCCTACCCAGTCCTACTTCCACCCTTGCTCCATCCCCAGCCCCACCCCAGGAATCGATCAGGCCTCTAATAACAAACTTCTTGCACACAAATCTATCTTAGAACCTACTTCCCAGAAAATATCAATAGAACTTGAGTATAATCTATGGCCAGCACTGTAACCAAAATGAAAGCAAACAAAAAATTAGCCAGGAACTAGAATAATTTCCTCATTTCCATTTCTTTCTTTGAAGAAACCTGTACATCTTTCCATTTCCTTACTCTACATAGGGCTCTGTTCTTTCTAGTGTCCTCAGACCCACCCTAGTGAGGCACATACCTCAGACACCCTGCTCCCCCAGGACAACAGGAGGCACCTGAGGCCCCAGCAGCTGCACTTAACTCTTGTCCCCTCACTAGCCAGTCTGAAGTAAAGATCAAAGGAGAGAAGCTGGTGAAGCAAAGGACTCAGGTGAGGAGGAGAAGCTGGTCCTGATCCCACTGCTTTGACTGCCGCCCAGGTGGCTTCTCCCTAGGAGCCTGAGTCCAGGAAACAGGACTTGCTGATTCTAAGGACAGAAGACATGCGCCCTGTCGGTTTTGCCTTCCTACTGTTCCTACTGCTGGGTGAGCCCCTGGGGAAGAGCAGGGGAAGGGAGAGGCAAAGGTTTTTAACCCAAGAAGGCATACAGAGAAATCTGACACATCTCCCATGGGATGTTACTTAGGAATAGTGTGCCCTAAGAAAGCCCTAAGAGGATACTATCATGCCAGACACCCTTCCAAGGCTCTAGGGTAAAGCAGTAAACAAAACTATGATCCCTTCAGGATCCTGACCTTAGAGTACAGGGCTGGGAGGTGTGTTGCTAATTTCAAATAGGGTAGTCAGGGAAGGTTTCACAAAGGAGGCATTTGAGCCAATACCTACATGAGATGAGTGACTTAGCTAAGAGGATACCAGAAAAGAGCATTTCAAGCAGTAGGAACTGGCAGTGCAAATGCTGATTTCAGGCATAAACTTGTTCATTTATTTTTATGGACCACAGTGATTTAAAAGCAAGGTAGGCTGACAGTAGCAAAAACAAAAAAAATCCCCACAAACACTGCAAAAATCCATTACTGTTAAATAGGAAAAAAATTAAATAGCTGGGGCCTCCCTGGTAGTGCAAGGGGTTAAGTCTCAGCACTATGAAGCTATCCACAGCCACTGCAGCATGAGTTCAATCCCCGGCCAGGGAGCTAACCCACATGATGCAGCAGACCTCTCCTGTCTCGCCCACTGCTCCCCTCAGCAGTGTATTTCAGCAGATCTGCCTGTTCTGTTTCCCGGTGCCTCTGGTGAATCCTCTCACCTCTCCACCCCACCCCATGTCTGGCCTACACCCCAACTCTTGTATGCATAAATAAATCTTGTTTAAAATTTTAAATAGCTTATAAATCTCAAAAGCATCACTTTATTTACAGCCTAAACACCTGATATCTCTAATGATAGCCTTGAATGATTAATAAAAGTTGAATTATGTTCCATGTATGCTGCTAAAAAAAGCAGTTATATACATAAATATCATGACATTTATAAACATTTGGCCTTTAACACCTATCAGAGAAATTTAAATATGCAGGAAATCTCTTGGTTCAGTAGATATATTATTACATGTTAATGATTCAGTGTGTCTGTCTTAGGATCCTGCTCATGTTCTCCTTCCCAAAAGAAAGATCTGCAACCAGGTGAGTGCTCTCACTTGGGGCCAAACTGACTAGAATGGGCAGGAAGGTTAGGGAGGACTCAGGCCCTAGGAATGGATGAGAGTTTGGAGATAAGATGGGGACCAGACAAACACCATACCCAGATTTTCACGCTTCCCTCCCTCTAGTGTGTGGACGACCTGTTTACTCAAGCCGCATTGTGGGCGGCCAGAACAGTGCTGCGGGGCGCTGGCCTTGGCAGGTCAGCCTGCGCTATAACCAGAAACATATCTGTGGGGGCTCCCTCATCAGTAAGCAGTGGGTGCTGACGGCAGCACACTGCATACGCAGGTGAGTTCTAGCTGGTTGCTCTCTAAATAAGTTCTCGTAAATACCTGAGTAATTTCATTAACAAACCCACAATCAATGAAGGTGAGAAGACCGGTAGGTGGAAGAAAACCTAGTAGGTTCCCTTGGTCTAGGGACAAAGCATACAGGTAGGAAAGAAATAAAAGAGACAGGCATTATATTAGAGCCATTTCATAATTTTTGCAAATCACTTCCTAATGCCAGTCAGAGGGTTTTGTCTTAGGCTTTTTTGGGTCACAAACACAATCTGTGCTCTCTCTAGAGCTACTGTTCTGAGAGAAACAAAGCGCCTTGTGATGAGTAGCCCAAGAGAGAAGCCCATATAAACTTGATGTCTCCAGGCAACAGTCGGTGAAGATTTGAAGCCTGCCTGTAACAAGTGACCTTAGAAGCACATTTTCCCTGAGTGGAGTCTTGAGACAAATGCAGCCTAGTGAGAAAACTTGAGTTGAAGGCAGTGGTTAAGTCACACCAGATTCATGATTCACAGAAACAAATAAATGTTTATTTTAAGACGTTAAGCTTTGTAGTAACTTGATATGAAATAGGAACCAGCAGATAAAGAAATCAAAATGACAAGACTTTTCAGTATAACAACTCTAAATGGGCAAAGGAAATAGAAAATAACTACAAAATGCTGAAGGAAATTATTTCTAAACTAGAGTTCTACCTATATACAAACTGTCATTCAAACATGGAATAGAAATATGTTCAAATATACAAAGCAGCAAAAATATTACCTCTGATGCACATTTCCTCCTGAAGCCCCAGAAGAATGTGCCTCCCCAAAATAAAGGGAGGAAAAAGTGGTTCCCAGAAAAAAGGGAATATATCATAGAAGAGAATCCCCAAGAAAATCATAAAGATTTGTGACTGATTGCCAGGGTTAGAGCAGAGGACTCCGAAAAAAGAAAATTGTATTGAATAGAATATGTGACAGCTTTCAACATACTGAGAGATTAATACTTCTGGAACAGTCTGGGGAATGAATGATGAATTAGTGATAAGTATATAGAAAACTAAGAAAACAAAAAAGTGAGACCACTTCATAACTCCAGGAGAAGCAAAAGTTTTACAAGAAATGTAATTACAGTACCCAATATGGCTGGGTAGTGAATATTTATTGATTTATTTAAAAGTTTTTTTTTTTTAATTTTTTACATCATTGTTCATTTTTATTTTTTTTTTAAAGATTTATTTACTTATTTATACAAACACTGGGTACAATCAGAAGCACGGGAGGGTGAGAGAATTCATCAGAGCCAGAGCGGCGAACAGAACAGGCAGACTGATGAAGAAATACACTGCTTAGGGGAGCAGTGGGCGGCAGGAGAGGTCTGTGTGCCATGTGGGACTCTCGCCCGGGGGCCGGTGGCCGGGGATAGAACTGGTGCTGCAGAGGCTGCGGGCAGCTTTGCAGCCCAGCGCGCTCAACTGCTGCGCCACTGGGGAGGCTCCATTGTTCATTTTCAAGCAATATTTGCTTTCCCCCCTCAGGTGTAGTCCCCATAGAATTTCCTTCTCCAATGCACCCATGCACCATCACCTCAATCCCCTGTGCTCCTTCCTCCTCCCCTGCAGGATGTCTCTGATTTACAATTGTCTGTGTTTGCTTTGTTGTGTTTGGTATTGTTATTATTTTTTTACACTGATGTCTTATTTGGTCCCCCTATATTCCTGCTATAAGTGAAACCATCAGATATTTCTCTTTTTTCTTCTGGCTTATTTCACTGAGCATAATTCCTTCTAGTTCCATCCACATTGCTGTGAATGGCATGAGTTTATCTTTTTTGATTGCTGAATAAAATTCCATTGTGTATATATGCCATATCTTCTTGATCCAGTCATCTATTTTGGGGCATTTGAGTTGTTTCCAGGTTTTACCTATTATAAAAAGTGCTGCAATAAACAGCAAAAATCAGTAGCCTTCCTATACATAATCAATCTGAAGAAGAAGAAATCAAGAAAACCATCCCTTTTATAATCTAAACAAAAAAAAAATCAAATACTTGGGAATAAAAGAGGTGAAACAAACAACAAGAGGTGAAAGACCTATACAAAGAAATTTATAAAACACCGTTAAAAGAAATAGAAGACGACACAAAGAAATGGAAAGACATCCCCTGCTCATGGATTGGAAAAATTAACATTACTAAAATGGCCATCCTACCAAAAGCAATATACAGATTCAACATTATTCCAATAAAAATCTCAATGACATTCTTCAAAGAAATAGAACAAATACTGATAAAATTCATATGGAACCACAAAAAACCACAAATAGCCAAAGCTCTACTAATGAAAACAAAGGAGAAAAGAGGTGTCACACTTCCAGACTTCAAGCTGTACTACAAAGCCATAATAATTAAAACAGTTTGGTACTGGAACAAAAACAGACACACTGACCAATGGAACCAAATAGAGAGCCCAGAAATAAAATCACACTCATATGGCAGTGAATACTTATACAGTCACAAGAGCAGACAGACATAATACATAAATACTGATCTAAAAAAAGTTATAATACTAGGTTAGGTAGATGGATGAAAAGTAAGGGACTGGCACTGGTTGGTGGCCAATCTTTACCTTCCACAATTCTAAAAGTGAAAGAAAAAAATTTCAATAGCAATATATAGGATTTCTTGAAAATACTAAGGAATACTAAAAGAAAGAGCTAAGAGTTGAAAGTGATTTGTTTTTGGATAGTGTAAGCCAAGGGAAGGTTAGAGAACTTGTTATTTACTTACTTTGCACATCTTATTAAACATTTTAAATGACATATATAAATGCATAAAACTGATCAGACTTTAAATTTTTATTTACTCTTTCTGCCATCTTTCTGTGCCTCCATAATGGTGTGGTGAAAATCCTGGCTCGTACTCTCAACAGCATCAACAAATACTGAAAAGAGAGGTGAACGCCAGGTTCTTATTGGAGTATGCTATAAAGTCATCATTATCCATTTTCAATGTGTGATGATGAAGCAAATTACTGGAAGATTTGAAATCACTGATGATCAGAGAGCTGGGAAAAATATGATGAACCTCACAGGCAATCTGATGATCAATCCCATATTTGATGTACATCTCAAAAATCTAGAAAAATGGGAGAACAACCTGCTCCAGTCATATTAGTTTGGTTTCATTGTACTTATAACATCAGCAGGCATCATGCTGATGAAAAAATACAGGAGGGAAAATCCTGGGATTTTTTTCTAGGTACATAACACATATGTGCAAACAAAATACCTCAGTGGACTTTGGTGTTTCAAAAATAATTCATTAAAATTTTGCTTATAAATTTTGTGCTGAGAAATAAAAACTGGCAATAAAAAAATAAAAGGTAACTATTAAGAATATGATGTATAAAATCACAGAGAATGGGAGAGGTGAATGCGAAAACCAGGGAGAAAATACAGGATAAAACTCTAGCTACAAGCATGTAAGAAGAGAGCTTAGAAACAGCAAACAACAAAATAAAAAGTGGTCAGAGAGGGAAGGGAATAGAAAAGGAGATAAATCGACTATAGTGCAAGCTGGAAGCCACCTGGTTAATTCTCAGTCTGTCACCCTCCCTTCTTGCCTAGAAACTTGGTGCTAACCTGTAGGCAGCTTGTCTTACCCAGCAGTAGCTCATAAGCAAGCTACATTTTTATTCTTCTCCATAAGCAAGCTACATTTTTATTCTTCTCTTTTTCTTTCTATTAGGAACTCCTTTCATTTCTTCTATTCTGTGAAGCTGGGAATGCTTGAAGTAAATAGTTTAAAAGAAGGCAAGGTGTACAAAGTGTCCAAAATCATCACACATCCCAAGTTTGAAGAAACAACTGCAGACATTGCCTTGGTGAAATTGTCCTCCAAAGTCACCTTCACTTCTCTCATCATGCCCATTTGCTTGCCCAATAACACAGAGAAGCTGACGATTCCAGAGTTCTGTTGGGTGACTGGATGGGGAAAACTTAATCAAGCAGGTAAAAATGGATGGAGAAAGGAGTTGATTTATATATCATCCTCTTGCAGCCACTAGAATATTCACATTGCAGGTATATCACCATAATGGCAAATATTTGTCATCAAAACTAGATCAACCTATTGACGGTATCTTTTAAGTCTACCAATAAAATACCTTTCATCTGCCTAGAATCTAGCTATAGCTAGAAAAGTAAATACTAGAATTTTAGAACATAATTACCTAGTTCACAAGTTAATAGGTCTGAATTAAAGTTTGGGGAAAATGTTAACGTTTTTGGGAAAATTTGTTAATAAAAGGTTGTGTTGACTTTTTCCCAGAATGGACTTAAGACAAGACAGGAAATTATCTGGACAGAAAAGTGGGAAAGAATAAAGTTTTAGAATATTTTAGAATGCTCACATCTTATTCAAAATTTATCAGAATTGCCGTTTAAAATACTAGGAAGTCCCCACATTGCACATTAGAATGACCTCAAACAAAGAAAAATTATAAATATCCACTGTCCTATTTTTTTAATTATTTTTTACATCCTTTTTCATTTTTAAACAATATTTGCTTCCCTTCGCCTCAGGTGTAGTCCCCATATCCATAGAATTTCCTTCCCCAAGGTACCAGTGCACCATCACCTCAGTCCCCTGTGCTCCTCCCTCCCTCCGTCTGATCCCTCTCCCTCCTCCTCCCCTGCAGGATGTCTCTGATTTATAATTGTCTGTTTTTGTTTGGTTAAGTTTTGTACTGCTATTTTTTTTTACACTGATGTCTTATTGGGGTCCCCTATATTCCTGCTATAAGTGAAACCATCCGATATTTTTCTTTTTCCTTCTGACTTATTTCACTGAGCATAATTCCTTCTAGCTCCATCCACATTGCTGGGAATGGCATGAGTTTATCTTTTTTGATAGCTGAGTAATATTGCATTGTGTATGTATACCACAAAAGATAAACACCTGGGATTATCTCAAACTGAAAAGCTTCTGTACAGCAAGAGACATTAACAAAAACAAAGAGACACCCCATTGATTGGGAAAAAATTTTTGCCCTCCACACAACTGATAAGGGACTGGTCACAAAGGCATACAAAGAACTCACATGACTCAACAAAAACAAAGTAAACAATTCAGTCAAGAAATGGGCAGAAGAACTTAAAAGACATTTTCTCCAAAGAGGAAATGCAAATAGACAACAGGCACGTGAAAAAATGTTCAATATCCCTTATCATCAGGGAAATGCAAATCAAAACCACACTGAGATACCACCTTACAACAGTAAGAATGGCACATAGGATGTGGTGAAAAAGGAACTCTCCCACATTGCTGGTGGGAGTGCAAACTGGTCCAACCACTATGGAGAGCTATCTGGAGGTTCCTCAGTCTACTAAAAATGGAGCTATCATATGACCCAGCAATTCCACTCCTAGGGATCTACCCAACGGACACAAAAACATTGATTCAAAAGACCACCTGTACCCCTATGTTTACTGCAGCACTATTTATAATAGGTAAAACCTGGAAAGAATCAAATGCACGAAAACAGATGACTGGATCAAGATGATGTGGTATATATACACAATGGAATATTACTCCACTGTTTTAGATTCACAAAAAGATCCTTCCATTAACAAATATGATTGGAAAGTGGCTGTGCTCCAGTTTGGATTCCCATTCAGACATTTCTGAACGTTATGACTGCATGTTGCCCCTGCATCATTCCAGGTTGCTTTAACCTTTCATTCCTGTCTGTCTCCACAGTTAATAATTATGCTACCATTCTTCAGGAAGCAGAAGTACCGATTATTAGCCAAAAGCATTGTGAAGAACTCCATAATCCATTAGCTCCCCTGCTACCACAGTTGGAAGCCATTATCCAGGATGACATGATTTGTGCTGGTAAAACAAAGGATAGTTGCAAGGTAAGGGTTTATTTTTAAAATTTTTTAAATGTAATCTTATGTTTTTATTGAGGTATAACTGACAGCCCTATATTATATTCAACATATGTATTTTATTAGGAAGTGGTCATGAAATAAGTCTAGTTAACCTCTACCACTACAGTTATAATTATTTTTCCTGTGATGAGAACTTTTAAGATCTACTCTCTTAGTAACTTCCAAATATTGCACTGTTGAATATAGTCACCATGCTGTACATTATAGCCCCAACACATTACTTTTGTAACTTTAAGTGCATATCTTTTGAACCTCCCAACCCCTGCCTCTGGGAAGCACCATCTATTCTAAAGATTTGATTTGATTTTTTGTTTTTGTTTTTATATTCCACTTATGAGAAAGATCATATAGTATCTTTCTGCCCAAAAGATTTCATTTAGCATAATTCCCTCAAGGTCCACCCAAGTTGTTGCAAATGGCAAGATTTTATTCTTTTTTTGTTCTTTTTTATGAATAATATTCTGTGTATATGCATAAAACTTTCTTTATCCATATAAGGAATTTTATCAATTCCATCAATCACACTTAAGTTGTTTCCCTATCTTGGCTACTGTAAATAGTATGCTATGAAGGGAGTATAGATATATTTTTGAATTAGTGTTTTGCTTATTTCAGTAAACACCATGATGTGGTATTGCTGGATCATATGGCAGTTCTATTTTTAAGTTTTTAAGGAATCTCCTATTTTCCATATTGCTTATACCAATTTATATTCCCACCAATAGTACACAAGGATTCCCTTTTCTCCATATCCTCATGAACATCTGTTCAATCTTGTCTTTTTTAATAAGTCATTCTAATGATATGAGATGATATCTAATTGTAGTTTTGATCTGCATTTCACTCATCATTAGTGATGTTCAGAAACATTTTGTGTACCTGTTGGTAATCACAATGTCTTCTTTGGGAAAATATCTTCAGTTGTTCTGCCCACTCTCAAAAGGATTTTTTTTTATTCAGTTATAAAAATTCATTATATATTTTATTAGTAATTCCTTGAGACAGGATTTGCAAATATTTCCTCCCATTTAGTAGGCTGCCTTTTTATTCTATTAATGGTTCCCACTGCTGTGCAGCTTTTGAGTTTGATGTAATCTCACTTGCCTAATTTTTGCTTTCGTTGTCTTTGATTTTGGTGTCAAATCCAAAATCTCATAATCAAGACAGATGTCATGGAGCTTACAACCTATGGTTTTTTCATGGAGTTTCTCTGAGGTTTCAGGCTTTCCATTCATGTCTTTCATGTACTTTGAGTTAATTTTAGTTAAGACAGTGGTCCAGTTCCACTTTTTTATGTGACTCTCCAACTTTCTCAATACCAGTTATTTGGAAAGAGTTTGAGTAGAATATTTGAATATTGGGTAGAATTTACCAGTAAAGCTGTCTGGTTTTGAACTTTTGTTTGTTGGGAAGTTTTAGATTATTAATTCAATCTCACTAGTAATAAGTCTGATCAGATTTCCTATTTCAGTGCTCCTATGTTGGGTACATATTTACAAATGGTATATCCTATTGTTGGAATGACTGTTTTATCATTATAGAATGTCCTGTCCTAGAGAACCTTTATTTTAAAGTCTATTTTGCCTGATAGAAGTAAATCTACGCCAACTTTCTTTTGGCTTCCATTTGCATGGAATGTCTTTACCCACCCCTTCACTTTCAGTCTGAATGTGTCCTTGCATCTCAACTGACTCTCTGTAGGCAGCATATAGATGGGTCTTTGTTTTTAAATCCATTCAGCCAATCCATGTCTTTTGGTTGGAGATTCTGATATATTTACATTTACAGTGATTGCTGATATTAACTTATTGTGACTTTTAATTGTTCATACATCGACAAAATGTGGTATTTTCATATAATAGTCTATTTAGCAAAAAGTGATGGAATATTGGTACATGGGTGAATCTTGAAAAGGATATGCTAAATGAAATAAGCCAGACATAAAAGGTAACATACTATTTACACAAAATGCTCAACACCTGCAGATCTACTGAGGGAGAAAGTAGATTACTGGCTGACCTAGGGTTGGGAGATTTGGGAGGGAGTAAGAGTAACTGCTATTGGGTATAATATTTTGTTCATGAATGATGAAAGATGGACTGTGTGTGGATGACCAAAAAGTATAGCAAGATTAAGAGATTACAGCAGCAACTATTATCACCATTATTTATAAAAGGCTTATTTTAACATTAAAAACAGGGGGAAGGGGTAAGAACAGAAATATACAGTGAAAAAATTATCATATTCTTTTTATCACATAAAATTATCTTGAAACTAATGATATATTTAGCTAAGGTCTCTTCCAATTTCAAATTCTATCATTCTGGAATTCCCATGATCTCCCCCTAATGCAGTATGAAGATCAGTCCCTTCAGAATTCTTTAACTCCCTAGGCTCAACCACTCTATTCTTTTTTTTTTTTGAATTTTATTTTTATCTTCCCCATACAGTTGCAACCCCCTTATTTTGACCCCAATCCCTCCTTTCCCTGCCCCCCCCATAGTTTGTCTCTGGTTCATAGCTGTTTGTTGATTTTGATTTTTTTCTTTCTTATAGTTATTCTTTTTCCTGGTCCCTTATTTAGGTTTTCTAGATTCCTGCTATGAGTGAGACCATCCAGTATTTTTCTTTTTCTTTCTGGCTTATTTCGCTGAGCATGATCCCTTCCAGCTCCATCCATGTTGCTGCAATTTGCATGTGTTTATCTTTTTAGAATGCTGAGTAATATTGCATTGTGTATATGTACCACATCTTCTTGATCCAGTCATCTATTTTTGGGCTTTTGGGTTGTTTCCAAAGCTTAGCTATTGCAAATAGTGCTGCTACAAACATAGGGGTGCAGGTGCTCTTTGGAATTAATGTTTCTGTGTCCTTTGGGTAAATACCTAGGAGTGGAATTGCTGGATCATATGGAAGCTCTATCTTTAGTGGGTTGAGGAATCTCCACACAGCTTTCCACAGTGTCAACCACTCCATTCTAAGGAACGTGTGACCACTCTCCTTTTCATGTTCCTATTTCACCATACTCATATCTATTATCTCTTCCTTAGGGTGACTCTGGAGGGCCTCTATCATGTCATATTAATGGTGTATGGACACAAATAGGAGTGGTAAGCTGGGGAATGGGTTGTGGTTTGTCTATTCCTGGAGTGTACGCCAGTGTGATCTACTACCAAAAATGGATTAACACCACTGTGTCAAGAGCAGAGGCCCTTGGTGTCAATCATCTGGACTTATCTAACTTCATATTCCCAGTTGTATTGCTCTGTCTGGCTCTCCTGGGAGCCTTCTAACATCCTACCAGGATAACAGAAAGAATAACTATTGCTGACAGCCACGCACAGAGTTAGGAAGGGAATATATGAAAATTAAGTCCCAAGGGCAGAGTAGATGACTATGGGAGGGTCACTGATAACTCTGGATGACCTCATTAAACTAATTAGAAATAACTATTTTTGAGGTTATTGAGTCTAGATGTATGTTTTAATGGTTGGTATGACTAGGTTTACTAAAAGGCTGCGGCTTCTGTATATGACATTCTTGGTCCATGACTATGCTTCTAACAAGGAAGACAGGAAGTATGGTAAGTATTTATTCACATAAATTAGATGGCTACTAGAAATGAAGAAAGATAAACCTGACGGAACTGGGCTGACCCAATTGGTGGATCACGCTTATGCTTACAACTGTAGGACATGACCCAAAAGCATGGGTCTCATGGTGTGAAACAACAATAACAGGATTTATTTATACAAAGGAAGAGAGTATTGATACACTAGCATACAGTCAGATGCCATCTGTTCTACCCCAGATAGCATCTGCTGAACAGAAACAGAGGTCCAAATTGAAGTCCTGTGTGGCAACCTGAAGACTTCTCTGCAGGCACCTCTCCTCAACAGCAGTCAAACTGCCAAAGCCCTAGCAGCTTAACTGTCCCAAAGCCCCAGCAATTTAACTGCCAAAGCCCCAGCAGCTTAACAGCCAAAAACCTCAGCAGCTTTTTAATTGGTGAAAACCCCAGCTCTACCTTTCCCCCCCATCAGTCCCCTGTTCCAGGAGTGGAATTTGAAAGCTCCACCTTCTACCACTGAGTTCACGTCAGGGGTTGGACTGTGAAATGCTGAGTCTGCTATGAGTGCCGCTCACTGGCTTGGAGATTATTCCTCACCATTTCTCTATTTATAAAAAGGCAATAGGGAAGCGTCTTTATTGAAATATAGAAACGGTTTACTTCATGCCTGTAGTTTGCATTATGGGTTTCTTGTCTGTCCAGCTCTGTAGCAAGGGACCCGATAAAAAATGCATACATGTAGTTCAGCTTTAAATTTTTCTGAACTCTTTACTTTTCCAAAAAAAAATTGCATTTTAAAATACCAATGTGCCTGACTACCAAAACTGTGATTAATACCATAATCTCAAAACTGAAGTTTTCAAACCGTCTGGATCTGTTCAAATTGTTCAATAAAACTTCTATAATAAAGTACTTTACATTTTTATAAGGAAAAGATTATTTTCCTTGCTTAACTAGCATACTTTTTGTGTTGAGCATTCACATGACCTACACTGCTTCCTTCTCTGTATAGGCTTCCAGGAGCTCAGAGCTAAATTTTATACTTGATTTCAGTCATTATCTTTATCCTAGATTATCAGGTATACTTTCATTCACATTCCTCTATTATTTAAGCTCCTTCATTTCTCATTTGAATTAACTTTAAGTTTCATTGCATCTGTGTCTTTCATGGTAAAACAACTTTCAAAAACAATTTTTTGGATAAATACATTTAATTAGAAATGAACTGGTTTAGAAATTTAAAATTCTTGATTACCCTTAACTTCACCTCTCAACTGGACTGCCACTTAAGCCTCCTAACTTGCATCCCACATCCTTTCTTATGACCTACACCTATACTCAAGCATTTATTCTGCACAACATTCAGACTAAAGATTTTTCACTTCTTACCGTTTTATCTGTCACTCTATTTTTTTATGATTTCTTGTATCTTTGACTCCAGCTTTTCCAACCACACTACCTTTTTCAGGATTTGTACATTCGTGGTGGTTTAGTGATTACTGACTGGCATTAAAATTGAGCTCCAAATTGGGCAGCTATGAACTTACTAAAATGATTATACAAGTGGGCCTCATAAAGCGTCAGGTACAGCAGGTACCTGAAAAAGTGTACATCTAACATAAGTACAACATTTTACAGCACAAATTTGCTTACTCTATCCCTAAATATTTAATTAATGCCAATATTGCTTGCCTTTTGGTACTTCATATTGTGCCAATGATTTGTATGATTCAAGTCTTTTTATTTTTTATTTTTTTTTTTAATAGAGGCATGTTTTACTTATTTAATTTATTTGTTTGTTTGTTTGTTTTGTTTATACATGCACTGGGTACAGTCAGAAGCGCGGGAGGGTGAGAGAATTCACCAGAGCCAGAGTGGGGAGCAGAGCAGGCAGAAGGACCGAAGTACACTGCTGAGGGGAGCAGCATGCGGCAGGAGAGGTCTGCGCGCCATGTGGGACCCTCCACCGGTGGCCGGGGAGCAGCCGGGGATCGAACCGGCGCCACAGAGGCTGCGGGCAGCTTTGCAACCCAGCGCTCAACCGCTGCACCACCAGGGAGGCCCAAGATTCAAGTCTTTTTAAAAAACTATACTGGGGGGGGTGCGCCTCCCCGGTGGCTCAGCGGTTGAGCTCTGGGTTACGAAGCTGCCCAAAGTCTCTGCAGTGTCGGTTCGATCCCTGGGTGCTCCCTGGCCACCAGAGGAGGGTCCCACATGGCGCGCAGACCTCTCCTGCTGCCCACTGCTCCCCCCAGCAGTGTACTTCAGTCTGCCTGCTCTGCTCCCCGCTCTGGCTCTGGTGAATTCTCTCACCCTCCCATGCTTCTGACTGTACCCAGTGCTTGTATAAATAGATAAAAATAAAATGTTTATAAAAAAAAACCAAAAACCTATACTGGGAAGTTGTGCTTTTTCCCCTCCATCAAACCACCCATGCCTATAACCCATCTGTGTCCCTCCCCCAACCTCTTCACTCTCTCTCCTATTCCCTCTGGTAAGCACACTCTAGCAATGACAGGAATAGGGCAAGATCAGGACCTAAAGTTTTAAAATGCTAAAGGCATTCTGGATTTTAGTCATGAGTGAGAAGAGGAAAGAATCTAGATACAGTTGAATAGAATTGAGAAAATACCCTAACTTTATTTGGATGTTATTTGATGAACTGGATGTGGTTGGTGGGAGTGAGGGCGCTGATTGGAACAGGAAGATGGGAAAGAGAAAGGACTTACAAAGAGAAATTAAAAGTGACTCAAAAATGGGCTAGAAACGGTCATATTATTACATGTTATGAAGAAGTCTAAAGGGAGAACACATTTACCACACTATCAGATCCAGTGGTAGCTTGAATAATGGCCCCAAGGAGTCCATGTCATAATCCCTAGAACATATATATGTGTATATATCTATATATATGCATATGTTACTTTATGTGATAAAAAGGGACTCTGCACATATTGTTTAGTATCTTGAGGCAGATACTAAATTATCCTGGACTTTGTGGATGGGCCCAATATAATAAATCTTCTTGTAAGAGGAAGGTAGGCAGGTCAAAGCAGGGATTCTAATGAGAACATGCAGAAGATACAAAGTTGGAAGCAGAAGGAAGAGAAAAGTATAGACCCTATACGCCTAGCTATGAGAATGAAGCAGAGGGCTAAAGCTGGCCTCTAGTGATTACAAAAGGCAAAGAACTGCTTCTCTCCCAGCACCTACAGATGGAATGCAGCCCTGTCAACACTCAGATACCCAGAACAAAGGACAAGGTCATGTGATCTGAAGCCACTAAATTTGTAGTAATTTGTTATAAAAGCAGTAGGAAACTAGTGTGTGTGTGCGTGTTAGATTTGAGACACCTAATAAAATATCCAAGCAGATTTGCTGGGAGAGGAGTCCAGGGCTCAGACAGGAAAGGACTAGAGAAACGAAAACAGAAATTATGTTTGAATTATGGGCCCTCTTCTCTTACTCCATTCAAAAGCACTCATGCACACACCAACCTTTTTTTCTTGTAATTTCAAGATGTTCAAGAATCCCTTTATTCACACAACCTCCAGAACACTAAGTAATCCAAGGCAACCTGTTCTAATCCTGGTAAGAATGTTTCCTCCCTAAAGAGGAAGAAACCAAATAATTCTCATTTTAAAATAAAAATCTTGAAAAAAATTTTTTCTCCAATTCTGTTTCTTAAAAAAGTCAAAATGGGCCTCCCCTGGTGGCGCAGCGGTTGAGCGCTGGGCTGCAAAGCTGCCCACAGCCTCTGCAGCACTGGTTCAATTCCCGGCTGCCGGCGAGGGTCCCACATGGCACACAGACCTCTCCTGCTGCGCCCGCTGCTCCCCTCATCAGTGTATTTCGTCAGTCTGCCTGTTCTGTTCCCCGCTCTGGCTCTCTGGTGAATTTTCTCACCCTCCCGCGCTTCTGACTGTACCCAGTGCTTGTATAAATAAATAACAATCTTTAAAAAAAAAGTCAAAATGTTATAGAAATATTTAACATAGAAAGCCCAAATCCCCATGTAGCATTATTATAAGATACTGAACTCTACAGTTTATTTGTAATCACTACATTAACAACTCAGCTACTCAACTCTGCAGAAAGAGCATAAAAGCAGTCACATGCACTATATAAATGGCTGTTCCAATAAAACTTTATTTACAAAAACAGACAGTGAACCAGATTTTGACTCATGAGTCTGTACTTTCTAGATCTCTAATCTGATTCCTTCATATTATCAGTATGTAATTTGAGACCCACAGATTAATCCAAGGCCATACAGCTAGCTAGTGTTAGGAAGAGCATTAGAACAGAGGTCCCCTGAATCTAGAATAGGTTCTACTGGGCCACAAGAGGAAGATGAAATATACACTAAAAAAAAAAAAAAAAAAAAAAAAAAAAGGTAGACTATAATAATTTTTTGTTAAACAGCTTTCAACAATTTGGTTATAAATGAGAATTTGTCACAACAAAGCAAAAACAGACAATTATAAATCAGAGACATCCTGCAAGGGAGGAGGAGGGAGAGAGATCAGAGGGAGGGAGGGAGGAACATAGGGGACTGAGGTGATGGTGCACGGGTGCATTGGGGAAGGAAATTCTATGAGGACTACATCTGAGGTGTTGGGGGGAAGCAAATATTGTTTTAAAATGAACAATGAAGGGCCTCCCCGGTGGCGCAGCGGTTGAGCGCTGGGTTGCGAAGCTGCCCGCGGCCTCTGCGACGCAGGTTAGATCCCCGGCTGCTCCCCGGCCACCAGAGGAGGGTCCCACATGGCGCGCAGACCTCTCCTGCCGCCCGCTGCTCCCCTCAGCAGTGTACTTCGGTCCTTCTGCCTGCTCTGCTCCCCGCTCTGCCTCTGGTGAATTCTC